TCCCTCTTCAACTCTCGGTATCTATCCCATCCCGCACGTGTTGTGGTCGATCGTAACGTTGCGAGGTAGGCAGCCTGTTTTCTCTCCGCGACGACACGGTACTCCTCGTCGTACCTGCTGTTCTTGTGCACTTTCCGAAATCATGGTTTCGGTTGCAGCTGTACGTAAGGAATTTGAAATGCCGTCCCACAGTTCCCTTATACCGAGCTATTGACGAGTGTTCGCAGAGAGCAGGTGTGCAAGSCGAGTAGAAAAGCGTTCGGCTGACTGTTGTGATTGCAACTTCTCGACGTCGAACCTTCCTTGTGTTTGTTGGCGTACTTTTTTGCTGCACGGACGTGGGTGCGAATCTTGTTTTGTTTTGCTGTGAGTGCGCTAAAAGCAGTCACAAAAGGCATCTGTGGTCATATCGTCCTTCTCATCCGTCGGGACGTGGGCGAAAATAAGCGATATGTTGAAGAACCTCGCTTTGATGAGGAGTGGGGCCTAGTCGTTTATTCACCGGAGTGAATGATAGTACTCGGTCGGAGTTTCTCTCAATTAAGGGACCGGACATTGTATTGCATGCCCTCAATTCGTAATCCTTATTTCGTTTGCCATGGTCGTCATCAAAAGGTTGGTCTCTCATCCGAGGTTCGTTGTTTCCTTTCATTGCGGGTGTTTTTTTTTACGTAGCTTGCCCTAAACCCAGCGCACAACCCTGCGGTCTGGATATTTCGCCTACTTACTTTAGCTCGCCTTCATACGGATGTTCTTAGGCTTGGTCAAAGACCGGAAGTCGAGASCTCTTTGAGTCAAATGTAAAAGAATCGTTTCTGGCCACTCCCCAAGTGAAAGGCGGTCAGAGAACTTTCCTCACTTGCGTGAACTTCTACACATGACTCCATCCTCTATTAGGTAAATGTAATTGTGGTTGCGATATATGATCATGGCTTTTAACAAAGATTCGCAATTTAATATTATATAGCATTGAAGGACGTTCAAAAATCGCATCAACACCAGAAATTATAACCAAAACACTGGTTATGGTTTTCAAAGATCGTCGATTGACTAAGAGAGATTTAGTAGAGGCTCTACACATGTGTGGCAGTGTGAGCCATATTTTAAGTTAAATKTTGGGTTTTAGAAAGCTGTGGGCACAATGGTCGCCGCATTCGCTAACARTTAAACAAAAACACATTCGAGTCAGACTTTCTCAGCAACATTTAAAGCGTTTAAAAAAGGATAAAGTGGATTTTGTGCCTCGATTTATGACTAAAGGCTAAAGAGTGGTGTGAACCTGGTTGTTTGGCTTTGAAACGAGTTCGTGGCCGGAAATCGGCCAAGAATGTTATGTCATCCGTTTTTTGGGATGCGAGAGGAATTTAGAGTGTGGATTACTTGCAAACTGGTAAAAAAATTACTTGTGAATATTATTGCAACCTTTTGGACCAGTTGAATGAAAAATTTCGCGAGAAAATACCCGGTTTAATGAAGAAAAAATTATTTTTCATCAGGACAATCCACCATGTTATTTTGACAATGGTTAAAATCCACAAATTRAAGTTCGAAGTGGAGCATCCAACGTATTCACCAGATTTGGTCCCAGCGAATTCCATTTGTTTCCAGAMCTCAAAAAATTTATGCATAGCAAACTTTTTTCATCAATTGAAGAGGTCACAACGGCTGTTGAAGCGTGTTTTGCAGAATTTCCGGATTCTCATTTCAGGGATGGCACCCACAGATTGGAGGGTCTTTGGAGCAAATGTATTAATGTTAAGGGAGATTATACTGCTTAATAATAAAGTGTATTTTGAATTATAAACTTGTGTTTTTCTTATGAAACGACAAAACTTATTGTGTATATGTATATATACTATATATTTGTTAACAAACATCTAACATTTTATAAACAAGACCCCAAAAACTATTATAAGATCTAAAATTATTTTCACTACTTTAATGCCCTTTTTCATGGTGTAAGTATTATTTTGAGTAAGCGATTCAAATTCAAATTAACTCACAAATCAAATCCATAGGTATTTAGGAATTTTAGGACTTCTTTTATTATGGCAATGTTACATTATTTTTCTTCAGTCAACACCTTTGGCTCTTTGTATAGTGTTGCCAACATCTTCTTTAACTGAGATAGAAACATGCTTAGACAAAATTATTATTTTTAGCAGGTGTCTTTTCTAATTGATGGCGGAAAGTAAAATATATCTATTAAAAACAAAAATAGTTACCATCATTTTTATTCAGCTAATCTCATATTTATTCTTTTGGCTAGATAGAAAAGCGTTGATATTGATTGTAGGTAATATATCCGAAATGTTTTACTATGTTAATAACTTTATTGGGTTTTTAGATTAATATTTTAGAGCAAATTTTAAAATAATTTTTAATATCTCCAATAATTATGTTTTTTATTCAGGGACAAGCAACGGACATACAAATCCAGGCAGAAGAAATTATAAAGCTAAAAAAGCAATTGATAAATATATACGTAAAASATACGAAACAATGCTACGATAAGCTTCAACAGGATATGGAACGTGATAACTTCATGTCGCCAGAAGAGGCGAAAATAATGGGTTTAATTGATCATGTTCTGGAACACCCTCCTCAATCGGAGGCAGATGGTGATGTTATGACCACAGTTAAACACTCAGATGGGTAAACATAGATAATAAGAATTGTACACACTTATTAAAGCCTTTTGAAGCGATAAAACCATTATGATATAATTTTTTCATTGTATGTCAAATTTTATTTTACTTTATATAATTAATTAGTTTTTTAAATTATGAACCGTAAATGACTTCCATGCTCAGCCACGTATATGCGACATTTAATTCGAAAATTATTCATTGCGGCTTGAGAGGTTGAAGTTGGGATTTGCATAAATCAAATGCTACTGAAAAGGATACGGTTCGGAGCAGTTTTGAGTAAAGAATTCATTCAACATCTTTAAATAACGGTGCTTATTGACAGTTACTGTTACATGGTTATCTTCAAAGAAGTATGGTCGGACAATGTACTTTTACGAAACTGCGCGTCGCACAGTAACTCGTTCTGGGGG